GGGGGGGGGGGGGGGTGCTTATACAAACTTTTTTTATAAGTAGTCTTCTCCATGGACTATTGTAGTTTTTGCAAAATTTGTTTGTAACTTCAAAGAAAAATCTAAATTCCCAGCCATTTTAAAGATGCAGCTTTCTGATGGTACAATTTTTGCACGTTTCAAAATCAATAGAATCGCCGTCCTTAACGGCTTAAAGGCGATGAGCTTTTGCGAAAACAGTCGGATCGCAAATTAAAATTTGGAAAAACTATCGGTCACAACTATCGGTCTCCTGTGTTTATGAATTTATTCATTAGCCGCTACATCATTTTCCACTCTCGTTATCTTTCGTACTCAGAGTGCCTTTTCCGCCCCTAGGGATACGATCTTTGCTGCGAGTTTCATCACATTGCCAAAGAAACACCGTTAATTACGTTAAGTCAATTTGATTACATTCGCGGTGAAAGTTCGAAGCCAATTATCTTAACGCTAAGATTCTCTGTTTGACTTCATCTCTTCGACTGCTTTTAGCCATTATGATCTACCGTTAAGAAGACTTTTTTGTGAAAAAAAAATAAAGCCGTAACGAAGATTGGAAATGGCTTATGAAATCTGGTGTGATATTTCAAGACATTAGCGAAAGTAGCAGTAGAAATAATTTCAAGCTTTTTCAAATATTTTCTTGGGAACTCTAATTTCGAGTTTATGCGTCCCATTTTCTGTAATTGTATAATTATCTTTCTTTAGGAATTCATGAGAAATCGTCGATTTTGCGGATAATGCAAATACCTGTTATTATTATATCTTGAGTCTATGGAAAGTGATATGTTTTGTACAATAAACAAAACCTTTTTATCAGAAGTCGATTGCACCTCTTTTATGTAAAATAATTACGTCGTAGATATTAGTGGGAATACTCCAGTTCTACACGGGCTAACTCTACACGGAATAGCTCTACATGGTACTTAATAGTGAAATAATAACTCTACACGCAGCAACTATACACAGAAAATTCTACACGGTTATTTCTAAACGCAAAACTCTACAAGGAACAAGAGAAGATTACGGTTTCTCTGGTTCCTTTATTTACCATTTGTTTATGGTTGTATTTTTTACGAGGCACAAGTGCAATTTCAAACCAGTGTGCTACATTATTACTGATCCTGATGGTGTTTTAGTTGAAAAGAATCGTCCCTACTCGGGCCGCTGCTGTGACAGGCTTGTAAATGGTTATGATTTGTTAGGTCAGGTCAGGCTGGGTTAGATTAACTCAGAACTATACTGTTCCGATTGCTAGTGACCATGATGGTGATTTTGATTAATAAAAATCGTCCACATTCGGGTATATACATATCTCTTAAAGTAACTGCGATATCGGCAATTGCCATTCTTCGATTTTTCATTGTCTTGGTCCAGAGATGCTAAATCCACATTCAAATATTGGCGCCACGGATATTGTAGTACTGCCCACGCCACTGCTGATTATTGCTTTGAAATCAGTTGACTCCACTAGTGTAAAATACCTTCACAAAATTTCATGTCATGCAAACGAGAGCAGTTAGCGCAATGAAACTCATTCACTATTTCGTTCCTCGTAAAAAATACGATCATAAACAATTGCTAAAACAACGTGCCGGTGAAATCGTAATTTGCCCTTATTCCGTGTAAAGTATGGCCGTGTAGGGTTACTCCGTTTAGAGTTATTATTTTACTATGTACCGTGTAGAGTTATTCCATGTAGAGGTGCATCCCATTCTCTGTTAGTTGTACTCTTTTGAGCGTCGGTAAAGCAGAAATAATGCTTGGAATGCTTGGAGAGCCAAAGTGAAATTACGATCCAATGATAACTGTTATATTCTTCCACTTTGCGGTTAAAACTCTAAGTCTATCTTCACGGAAGATCATTTACCATTCATCGGTACGTAATATATATCTTTATGTTAAAAGACGGTGAGCACTGTTGAGGGATGGCGCCACCAGTACTTTCCTATAACTAGTTTCTCTAGGATAGGGTTTTCCAAACTGTGCTCGGCAGGAAGGTAGCAAGTGCTCCACGAAAAAGTATTAATAATAAAGCTTTTTTTTTTCTACATTTTGACTATAATAATTTTACGTTCATGTTACATTCATGTTGACGCCACAAAACGTCACACACGCTTTTTTATTTTTCTAAGATTTATTGATTGTGTGTCATTACCTACCCTTCAAAGTAAAAAAGGTGCTCCGTCAAAGTTCAAAGACCCTCCAAGTGCTCCATTAGAGAAAAAGTTTGGGAAACCCTGCTCTAGGGTACCAAAACTGTGTCCTGGGGTGCATTCATGTACCTTAGATGAACGCGATAATGTGAAACTCAAAAGCTTTTTCCATCGATCCTAAAGTCTGCCTTCTTTATTCTCCAACAACTAACTGACTGTTGACAATTCACTTTTTACATTTTACTCCAACTCACTCTAATAAAACCGTTACACTCAATGATATACATAGAACATATGGAAGAAATTGTAGAATGAATAGAAAGGGCGATACGAATGAAAGTTGCGTGCTAAGAAAAAAAGTATACAGCACGGAATTAAATTAATAAAAGTAACTCGAATAGAGAGTTGTTCTTAATTAAAAATTATGTGCATCAAGAAGATCGATAACAATGCGTTTTAGGAGTAGGTTTCCTACTACGAAACTGTGTCATACAAAACAGTTCCTTGGGTCTCTCATGTAACTGATTGATCAATTATACTATACAGTATAAGGATCGAAGAATAAACTATTTTTATTATTATTAGTGATCAGACCTCTGTGATGTGAATCCGAAGATAAAATAATGATTACAATAAATACAAATCGTTAATTACACCTAAATATCGATATGCTAAATAATTTGTGTTTTATTATTTCAATAGCGTATAACCGGAATAGTATGGGAAGCTATTATATACATATACAGGCCGATTGAATGCGAAGGAATTAGCAATGGCAAGTGCAGGATTCGATTCGAAATCTTCTTCGGTCACGCTAGATGGCGTTGTAGGCTCGGGACTTCTGGACGGCGTGGTCGTCGGGATATTCGGCGTTGTAGTTGGAGCTTCCGTAGTCGTGGTTGTCGTAGTTGTCGTAATTGCCGGCAGTGAAATCGAAACTTCCGGTGGACCGTAATTTTGCACCGATGGAGGCCCATACGACGAGAATTGATTTCGATGGGGACTGAATGGCCGGTTTGGTCGCCAACCACGTGGGTTATACGGCGGTAATTCCGCCATTGAGATTCCCACTAACAGAATGAATGTTATCACCTGATAAAAGAAAACGTAAACGATAATAACTCAAGAAAAGATAAAACATATTCTATATGACAATTAGTTCTTAGAGGAAACTGAAGTACTGGAAATAATGTAAAGTACACATATTACGAATTGACTGATTTCTTATGAATCTATATAACGATAGAATTTTTACATGTACTACGTTTCCATCGTGCTAGATCTAAATAGGATTAACCAATCATGTTCAACGGTTGAGAAGAATAGGCAAATATTCTTTTTAAATGTTGCGCACAAGTGGTTAGTCCCACTTAAATCCTGCACGATGGACCGTTGAAACGTCTATAATTTTTACTCGGGTAACTGCAGTTGGTACGTTTGAGGAATGCAACGGTGCGCAACGCACCGATTGAAGTTAGCTTCTGCCGTAGGAAATGAATAGACGGGCTAACTTCAGTCGGTGCATTCGAGCTGAATAACTGTATACACTTGGAGTTGTAATATTTGATGGTGTATCAGCAGGTTGTAGAGAAATAAGTACTATTTTTTTGTTTTCAAAACTCATTTCGCATGTCCATTTTAATGAGCAATTAGCGTTAAAGGTTTAACCAGTTGCAGTTGGATGCAAGTGGGTTCTAGTAAAGCCCGTCGAATATTAGAATCCACGTAAATTTGTTGAGTGGAGCGTATCGTTTTCAGCCCCCGCTTCGCTGTTCGTGTTTCAGGGTAAAATTTTAATTGAGTGACATTGAAATTAACGATTAATTAGGAGAAAACTTTTAAAAATGGACAGTGCCACAATTGCTAAAAAAAATGTCGCCGTATTTGTCGAATATAATACATTGATGTAAATTTTGAAAAGGAAAAAATCATAACCTGAAACGGTATGGTTATTTATTTTAAAATATAGAAGAATTATAAATTATTTAATGATAGACTGTTTAGCTCCAATCCACCTTGTATTTCGTGGGTCTTTTTTAAATTGTTCTTCAGCATTCACATCTCTGCAATCTTTTAAGAATGTCTTACAATCTTTCTATTAATTTTGCGATACACTTTTCTTTAAAACAATTCTTATCGCACGGCTTAAGTGACTAATCGAAATTCTGAAATCATTATTTTATCCCATAGTCAAAGTTCCTGGCATGAGAACATTTTCGTACAGTCCATAAACGATAACGCGTTAGGGACATTTTTTGCATCTATCACTTCTATTTTACTTTATGATTTTTATTGTCAATTTGGTATTATTGAATTATAATCAGGATTAAAAGATTTTAGGATTCTTCAAAGTGACTGACAGCTACCGAGGGACGCTTTAGCATTTAATCTAATTTTAATGTCGAAAAATGCAATTCGCTCTCAGTTTAATCATATTCGTATGCGCCGCGTAATGCATTTCTGATTGGTGTTAACTTATGAGAGCGTCACAACCATCACGACCAGAAGATCGATCTTCTCTTTTAAGGTATTATGTAAAAATGTGAAAGCGTAATGGAACATAACACAACGACGTCGTATAAATTTGATTGTGCTTTGACAGTGCAGCTTTTAATTAAAACTGTGAGATTAAAGACTAGAGTCACGATCATAGCACACGGGATCCATCTTCTTCCTCATCCTTATTGTATTTATACCTCCAACAGGTTCAAATACCAAATCTATCCTCTTTTATCTACCCGCCATTCTTCTGCCTGAAGCCAGGTACAAAAGGGAAGTTTCGTCTTTTGTTTTGCAACTTTTTTTGTTCCATGGAATCGTAAGAGTTTAATCAAAAGTATAGTTATAGGGAATGTCATTCCTTGCACCAACGTACATTTATTGTCTTTAATAGGGCAGAGTTGGTGGAAATATGTAAAAGAGATTTTCTTTTTCGGCAAAAGTTATTTTATTCTTTCTTTAAGGAAAAGTTAAGTAAAAGATGCACTTATGATGACCATTCAAGAACATTGCACCAAACTGAAGTTATACGTTAATTTGATTGTAATGCATTATAATGTATATATGCTTTTATTACCGTCAAAAAATTACAACTTATTATATTATTCAACCCTGTTTTAACTTTGACTAAAAGATAGCCACAACTAATCAGTGTAATTTGTATCGATTAACCATTGCAGCTGTAGCAGTATTAGTTTAGTGAAATTGGTGAAATTACTGAATAGCCACTATTACTAGTGATTTTTCATTTAGACAAATTGAATAGGAAAGGGAAGTACAGACAGAACAGGAAGTGTTGTGTCGATACGATTTGTTGCAACTGCATTTAAAAAAATTGACATTAAAGTCAGGAAATAGGTTTTGTTATCGAATTGTGTACACTTGACTCGAGTAAATGGTAAAAGTCGTAGAATCGTCTACTGCAATAGTCATGAGTTATCAGGCAATGCAAGGATTCAAAATACACGTGAAAGGCTATACCTACGTTAGTGAATCAAATAATAGAAGAGGAAAAAGGATGAAAAAATTTTGGAAAATCACAATTATGCTAATAACTTTTTTAACGGATTCGATACTGTATTATGGACAACTATGTGTATCGTACCTTCATTGTGCACCAATCCAATTACACATGCTGTGCCTTCTGTACTGGTTGTCTAGTTACTTTTCGCGAAAGTCATGAAATCCTTAATTATATATAACCCCCACTTGCGTTTTTTAATTTTTGAGTCTCATCCCTACCACGTGAATTCACTGCGCCATATTGACCATTGTGAATACAAATAACGCCGACCTTAGTATTTCACTTTGAATTTCGTAACAGTGTAAACTGACACGTAGTATTTTCCAGGTGATCAAAAACACTGCCCCGGTAAGACTTTATTTAAGAGAACTAAGTTTTAACTTGAATAAAAAATTATTACGTCATTTCTTTGGTTCCTAGATACTGTTAAGATTTCTTGCTAAAAATCTTGAGAACGTTTAGTTTTATTCTTCTAATTCTCTTGTTCAATTTTATCAAACACCTGTGTCAGTGAAAATAAATAACAATAAAATTACACTGAAATTTGTATTATTATATCAGATTTATGTGTACAAAATTTTCGTATTGTATCACGTGTCGTACGACTTCGTAACCCGTTACAAGAATCGTAGTTCGTGATGGGAATTATGCAAGCTAGTTTGATATGATCATTCTGGTCACGTGTGACAAGATCACGCGCGTCAAGATGACGTCGCGAGATATTGAGTAACCTTACGAAAATGTCTCTTCGAAAGGACCTTCCGATGCAGAATGAATTAATTCTACGCTTTTATTTCGGAATTCGTATTAGAAATAGAAATTGCTGATTTGCTGATTGTAACGAAAAAAATTCTAATCACGTATAAGACCTTGACAATTTTCAAGGCGATTTACGATCGACTAGTTACATTGAATTTTATTATTCACCGAGTAAATTATTATATAACTAAACGTAAGAATGTATTTTGAAAAATATAAGAAAATGTTAATCTTTTTTTTCTTAAATTTCCAAATAAAGATTTTTCTTTCAATTAGTCGAAATAGATTGTTTTTCCGTATTCCTTTCTTTTTCTATATGTATTATGTTACAGACGGCATGCTACCCTCAAAATATTATTAACTATCGAAAATTTTCAGAAACTCCATGGGTTACGTGCAATTTCTATTTTTCAGTCGTTTAAGAAGGAATATGTTTTATCGACTTGTGCATTCGTTGACACACTCGTCGAGTTTTCCATCTTCGCGAGGAAAATGCCAGATGGAAGCACCGTCATATTTCCCCAGCAAATGTGCCCAATTAACATTATTTACATGTTTTCAACAATTTTTTGCCTCAAATAAGGTAAACATTCGAGTGGCTGGACCGCTATCGTTCGGTCCTAGTCCCTGACCGTCCATAAGACACTTTATTTCGATCTCTCTTGCACACACGCTTTGTCCACTAAATGATACGTGGTCAGGCATTGATACATTTGCCTTCATGCCAAATCCAAATCTGCTATTTTCCTATCCTTTCTACGGTAGTAATTTTTTACGCACTTACTAGTGTGTTGTTGTTCTCATACATTCCAACATAAAAATAACATACTTATATGTGCAGCGTTAAAGCTTTATAAAAGTCAAAATAACATTGAAATCAAAAGGAGTGAAAAGTATGTCAGACTTGGATAAACATATGAAAAATATATTTAACCTATGTATATTTTACTTCCTTTTCTCTCTGATTCTTTACCTTTTGAAGAAAGCTTTGTGCTCTGCCACTCATTTTCTTCAGCCTTCCTGCCCCCATAACACCTTCCCCAATGATGACGATAACTTTATACCACCACCAGCATTTTTCCCTACTTTTCCCGTTTTTTATATATATAGATCCTTCTTCATTGTCAACCCACGAACTCTCTTAACATTTTCAGCATTTCTATAAAATTTCACGATTTTTCCCTGCTTTTCACTTTCTTTGCCCCCTCTCATTCGCTGATCTCATTTTACACTTCATTTTTCTCTGAAAAATCTTTTTCGCCCCATCATTTTTTCTCATTCATTTCATTTTTCATGTCATCCGTCGCACTGGATATAAATAATTGGGAATTCGGTGATATTTTTCTTTTGAAAAAGGAATGAAAAGTACAAGGGGTATAGATAGCATATGAAGGATGGGCATTGAATTATATTTTGAAAGAAATTTTCTAATATGATGAAATTTTAGATGAAGTTCTATTTCTTCCGTACCTACTTTACGTGTTGCTTTTTAAGGTATTACTACGGACCGAAAAGGAATATGCATCGGGCACGGTCTCACAGTGGATGTAGCAGTGTATACGTATATACACCGACGCTCTCTTGTCAGCCATCGTACGAGAGATTTCGTAATAAATATCGACTTCTTTCTAAAAATCTAAAAAACTCCTAATTTTTTCCTCTGCCACATATTAGTTTTTGCCAGGTATAGGGAATACGTGTTACGAGTCCTGACTTTAACTCGGTAATACTCGAAAATGGATGAGTGAATCGTGTTAAAAATTTGTAGAGAGATGTACTGCTATACAAATTAGACGTAAAACAAATTTCAGCTCGATTACGCGGTTTTGAGTTTACCGTAGTAATACCTTAAAGTCCTCATTAATACGGTTGTTTGACGTTTTTATTTATATCATTTTTGGAAGCGGAAGGATAGGTTAAGCTATTGGTTAAAAAATTCATTTCAACCCTGTAAGTATACCTCCCGGGGAGAATTTCTAATTCCTTCTCTGGCCTCTTTGATCCTATAAGTTATTCTCTCTGCGTTAGTTAATTTTGCCAACGAGATGCTATTTTGACTTTACTATATTTTTCTAATATAAATATTCCTTATTCATACTGTATTCTGTTGTATTTCCACATTGTATTTCGACGAGTCTATCCTGCGAGAATCAATGTTGAATTGCAGACAATGTCTCCTAGGGGATTTCGGGACGTTTACTAGGGATAATTGAGAACAGACGTTCCGTTTCCATCCGGACTGCAATTTCACGACCAGACCGGAGCATCCTTGAGTGGACTGCGATGTAGCTGTATTGCAATTAGTCGAATTATGCAATAAATTGTCACTAATTAATTAACGTTGGTCATCGCGGTAATTTTCGCTTTCGCATATTTCTGAATGACGCGATTCAAATAACTAGGGAATTTAATGTTATATATTTGGTCGTTTGGCGTGAGTTAAAAGCATTTCGTGTCGCAACGTTTAGGGAATAATGTCTTTGGGGAGATATTCCGTGCCGGAATTGGACGGTAGATTGGATTTTATTTTACTGAGTGTTATAGGCACTTTTTTTTAAAGACACACATTCTAGGAAATTTAGCTAGAGTTCACCAATATAATAAATAACATTTGGCAAAATATAATGATAATTAATTCTCCATTGCACCCTTAATCGCAACTTGATGTAACTCATGACAAGTAATCGTTAATTTGTCAGTAGCACAGATTTTCATTGCTCCGATATATCAGCAAACATCTAGTAAACTTCTTCCACAATCGAAAGTGGTACAGCACCATAGTTTGAAGTTGAACTATGAATAAGTAAATCGTGGTTAGGTAGTCAAACTAATCGCAAGACTAATTTATCATCTGGTAAGTGTATTAATAAAATATTCTTTCCCCCACATAGTCCATATTAAATGACGCCTTTTCTCATCAGCCTTGAAACCTCGCTGGAGCAGTGTCTATAGTAAGTGGAAGCTGTAACTACTTCCTGGGAGCCATCAGAGACAAAATCGCACGACCTTCGCACATGCATATGCGGAGGCAGGTTGGCTATGCACATGCAAGTAACCTGTCACCGGACAAATGCAGCCAAAATTGTCTGATGAATATGCAACGCTTATAGGGCATGTGGGAATTAAGTGGAAGTTACGTAATACTCGTGCTTGGACATTCAACTCCATTTCCTCGGCCATTTTGCACGGCTACGTAAAAGTCGAGTTATAGAGATAGGTGTTACTCCACAAAAGCCCATTGGAGTTTCTAGTGCGCGATAACCGACTCCCTTCATCTACCATAACTTTGCAATGTTATATTTGGGTTATAACGGGACAAGAACTTTGCTAAATTTTTATTTTCAGTTTTTGCAGCTGTAAATTATTTGATTTACCAAGTCCGTTAACACGTTTGTGCACTTGCAAAATAGTGGACCAAGTAGAATTTTGGGATCGATGTTGTACGGTGATGGCCAGCATGTGGAAGGTGCATGTGAATCCGCAACGCAAATTTATGGGGAAAACGCAGACCAGATGGCGCTAGCGTTCCGCGGTTAAAGCCAGACTCACTGGATAGACACGCCACACGCCTCTGCAGCAGCGTCTCGGGCTACGGCGTAATTAACCGGTGTAATTCGCCAGGTAATTCGAGCTTCTTACATCAAGAGTTTTTGGTATACCTATTGCTTGTTACAGATGTCGCACACTGAAATGTACAGATAAGTGTAATTTGAAGTAACTTAATTTAGTGTCTAATGATCGTATAATAAAGTATTATGATCGCAGTTAGTCATGTGATGCTTGTAATGATAAAGTGTTAAGATACTGATAACGTAGAAATTTTTATAAATTTTACTAACTCTTTTGATTAGTGGATGAATTCCAGAAATTCTGCTTCTGTTTTGTCCTTAGTACACATGAGTGCTCGAACTTATTATTATATAACTGTGGACATGGGTTATTCTGGATATGATTGGATTAATCGTATGGTAAACGAATTGATCAATTGAGAGGAATCGAAACTACTGGATACTGGCGCAGATACTGGAAGTCATGTACGTATGTAATTCGGGATCTAAGGAAGGCTGCCAACTTTTCGTATTGTACTCGTGGAATCAAGACAGTCAGACATTGCTCTTTTGTCTCGGTAAGGTTATGTCATTAGCGAAGCTACTAGAGACTTCCTGAGTTTGCAGTTCGAACTTACCTCAGACTGGCTTCCTGTCATACGTACATATACTGACTCCTTTACTGGATATAGTCGGCTTACTGCCTGACTGACTTAACTCCTATGATGACTAACTAGCAGTTGTTTAATTGGATATTCACCTAGGTATCGGATAACCTCACTATCTATGCAACTGACTTATTCTTAGGCAACCTTGTGGAAGATGGAGGAGTGTTTTGTGTAATCATTATCCCATAAAAGGAATTATCTATGTGGTTGGATGCTGCGGTAAAAATTCTTATAAAAAATTTTTATTAAATTGCAGAACGGAACAAGTTGAAATATGTCAGGGATATTGAGATCCGAATACGAATGGCATACTAACTTTCTAGAGGATCGGTGCTTCCGGTTTGAAGATAATGCTCATGCAAATTTGTAAAAAATTTCTTTTTAATGAAACACAAATTAGTTAGTTAATTATATGGACTGCAGATCACTTCGTTTACTTCGATCATTTGGAGATAATTAATATTGTCTGTATATATTTATTTGTTCGGCATCTCACGCAGCAAATTGACACAATAACTGACAAGTTATCAGTGATAACCGTTCTAAGTCTTCGAACGATCAAGCAAATCGATCGTAGTTCATTGTTCGACAAATTATTCGCAGTGATTGAGAAACTGGTTGATCGAATACACCTTG